GAGACAGTACAAGCTATTCTTGTATTTTTGAACAAGTAACGATTGAAGACGACCTCAATCAGTGTTGGAAGCTTAGCATAAGGATTCTGGATCTCTTTCCCAAAAAGGAGGACGCACGACCGGGTTGACGTGCGATTTCGCAATTGGAAGGTCCAGCAACATGAGGACCCCACATCTCTGCTTGGTCCTCTTTAGAAAAATGCCTGTTGTGAAGAGGAATAATGCCAGAATAAGTAACGAAAGAAAAAGTAAACATAGGTTAGAAAATTAGTGCAGAAAGTTGATCTGCCTCAGGGTGTCCACATACTTTTGGTACATGTACAGTAATGAGCCATCAGAAATGATTAATATGGTTACACATTTCTTCCTTATTGTTTTTACTTATTGCATTGCCCTCCGATTTCGTCGTTCTGATCACTACGCAGCAAATAAGCAACTTGTTTCCATTAAAATTTCAATTCCAGACAGCTGTAAGATATCATTTGTTTTACACTAGTGATACACTAGTGAGAAGACTGGTGAAATGATGATAGTGGATAAGTCGGCGCCAGCACCGTTGGTCAGGTGATGAGTGATGCTTACGATCCCCTCCTCCACCTACCTCTCATCGGAGCGAGTACTTGTCGAGGATTCCCTCGACCGTTATTCACCCTGGTCAGAAGGCCTATCCATTTTATACTCCAGTAGGTGTGAGTGCACCATGCTCAAGCTGAACATCGTTAGCCAATCTGAAGCACAAGAGTACAGCAGAGTACAGAGTACAGAGTAGAGTACATTTGTAGTCAGTGAAAATTCATACCACTAATCCTGCCCCACCCTGTTGAGAGTAGGTCCAACGACATCCAAACAACGTTACGATTTGAAAGATACATTTGCAGCTTCATGCATTCCGTTGACTGATGGCAAATTGCAAGGCTCGTTGACTGAGGATTAAAAAATACAATGAATAGCATGTTATGTTCGAAATGTTCGAAAACACTTTCTGGACATAATTGACGAAATGCATGTAACGAGTGGCTGGCTAGGTGCTGAAATGCACTATTCCTATTCAAAAAAGTATGGACTATATAACAATCAAAATGTATCTCGCCTTCACACTGTCAGTACATTCGATGACCAGCGACGCTGTGAGCAAGTGCCCTCCACACTATGTCAGTACTCAGATTGGAGCGAATATTTATGCTG